AGTGAGACTACTGAGCATGTTGCAACCTTTACAAGTAGATATGAATCTGATGAAGATTCACGTGATAAGGATATTTCTTATGAAGAATTGATTTATGCTTACAAAGATCTTTGTGTCAGAAGTGAAAAAGTGTGTAAGATAGGCGAGAAACAGAAGAAAATCATAGCTCAAATACTTGATGAAAAAGAGAAATTGTCATATATTGTCTCTGGTCTTCAAAATGAGGTAACTTTATTGAATTCTAAACTTGAAAACATGACCAAATCAGTAAGAATGTTGGACAATGGGTTTGATATGTTAAATGAAATTCTTCAAGTTGAAAAAGGGGCTGGAAACTCAGCAGGTATTAGTTTTAATTACCGATCCCTAAATAAACAAGTAAAAACCCATGTGACAAAATTTGTTTCTTCTGAAAGGAAGCAGGAGATCATAATGTCGGACCAAATGTTGCAACATTCTGCTAGACATCAGGAATCTCAAACCAAAACCTAATTCTTACCATGGAAGTCTCATTAGTGTGGGAAATATTGTCACATAAAATCTTTTTGATACAGACTGTATGGTTATTATAAACACCCAAAACAACCAAGGGTTAATCATGTGATAATTAAAACTACAAAGGAGTGAAAACTTAAGGTTGTTGACACTAGTCTTATATCACATACTTCTCTTAGAGCTTCATCTAGAAAAGACCGGTACTTTGATAGTGCATGTTCTTGACACATGACAGGGGTCACAAATTATTTAGTGGACATTAAGTCTTATTCCTCCAGATTTGTCACAAATAATGAGAGACTTCTCAATTGTTTTTAGTGTGCGTGTGTGTGTGTGAAATTTATACATAATGTTTCCAGAAATGATCCAGTGTCTTTACAAGGCACTAGTCACTCGGACGAACATGGCCAAACATGCTTTCATACGTCCTATCTTTCACAACTCTAAAGATTCAAGTCTTGAAATCATTATCTTTAATTTTAGAATTAGAGAAGAACCCCGAGTCTTCTTGATGAGACTTCATATGTCTTCATGTTGATTATCGCCTCTGAGATATTGAGAAATTGAACCACCAGTGATCTCTGAAACTTAAGTCTTCACTTAAAAGTAGTTGGAAAACAATATTGACTTTATATCTTTAAAGGCATAGCTTGATTCAGGAGGATAGCTCGATTAACCATCTTGTACATCTTTGATCATTTGAGCTATCTTTAGCATTGACTTGACTTTAAATGTTGTCATCATCAAAACTAAGCAGCTACTAGTGTACTTTCATCTTTGCTACCAATAATCTTCATTATCTTGGATCACTTATTGATTATACATGCAAGCTTATAGATCTATAAGCATATCATCTAATTAACTTTTTATATTATTTCATCATGATTCAGACATAGGAAACACATCCAATTTCATGTCAAGATTAATGTGAGGATTTAAAAGACGACTAATGTACACATATGTTCCACTTGGTAAGTTTTAAGGTTTCATGCAATTATTTAATTTTAGTTCTTAAAGAAACACATGTTCCACATTTACTAGATTTCAAAACACATTTTTTAATTTGATTTAATTCATATATGATTCTTCCAGTTTCATCTTCAAGAGATTTCACATGATTTTTATAAGACAAAATGATATTTTCTAGCTCTTCATTTTCTTTAAACATCTCACACTTAAGACATGTATTTGCTTATTAGAAAGAGTAGTTACCACATCATCATCTTCACATGTAGTCTTAAAAAAAGCGTTTACCTCTTTCATCTGATCTCTAGATGATGCTTCTGGTGATGTTTCATTTGATTTTCTAAAAGATGTTTCATTTGATTCTCCAGGTGATGCTTTTGATGATATTTCAAATGAATTTTTAATAGATTATTTTGTTGTTTCTCCGTCTCACTCTTCACATAATTATTTAGATCATTCTTCATTTGATTATTCTCATGATGCTTCAATGGGTTCCTCATCTGATACTTCAAAGGATTCTTCAGATGAATCTTTAAAGGATTCCTTACCTAGTACTTCAATGGATTCTTCATATGAATTTTCATATACATGTGAATTTTTCTCATTGATCTTTTTCACATCTTTAAGTAGTTCAATTAACTCTTTGAGTTTCTTTAATATCTCTGACTTATTTGACTTACCCTGAAAATCATCGATAATATTTGTTTCTCTAGATTATAGTACTGAATTAGGTTTCCAATATCGATTCTTGAATTTGTTAGAAATACAATTTTTGAAATCAATACCAAGAGTTTTAATACTTCAGCACCATATTTGAATATTATATTCATTTTTACTTGGTGTCTCGACTTCTTATTGGTCTAGTGTGTTCATGATTTCCCCTTTGATTTTAGTGGAAACTTTATTGATCATTTCTAGAATATAATTGTACTTTCTAGAGCCTAATGCACTTATCATCAAGTACTTTTCTTTATAAATTTGTGGCACTTTATCTCTGTCTCCCTGGTCCATAAATTTATGGGTTTATGCACCACTTCATTATTATAAAAGGATCATTTTAAAGGACCATTTTAAACAACATATCACAAATTAAAATCAATGTAATTTAAAAACATTTCATTTTTGTTTTCTATGTGGTAATCTTTTCACCACTAAACGATGACGATTTTTTCATAAAAATCCTCTTGTTAAAAGAAGCATTTGAATTCATCATACTATCTGTTGAGATGATTATTCATATAACATGACTTTAGGCTCTAATGTCATTTGTTATTCAAGTGACTTCAAACACAAAAGGGAGTGAGTTATGATGTTCAAAAAAATTTAAAAGTTGGTTTATAAAAATTGTTTGATTGAAAATGATTTTAGATGGAAATAAGAGTTAAAGGAGCAGAATAATAAAAGTGATGGTACCGATAGCACTGTTGGATAATGACGTGACAATGTTGTGATGCCTCCACTTGCACCTTTGGGTAGCTGACGGTGTTTCGCGTGAGACTCCTTTAGACCACTTACAATGAAGGTGTTGAAAAATTATTCAATAGTTGCAATGAAGTGTTAAATGAGGTGTTGAAATTAATGTGAATTAATTGGTGTTGAAAAAATTCAACATGTTGAATGAGGAGGGAGTGGAGACCCATATAGTACTTTTCAAAATTTTATTGGTTGTTGTGATTGTTTAGATTTTTATATCACCTTAATTATTTGGAATCAATTATTCCATAGTAAATCAATTTTTTGTTTATTTTTATTTTTCATCAAAATTCATCATTTTTTTCTCTGTACCATATAAGGACTTTAATAGTTTTGGAAAAGACCCTAATACCCTTGTTGCTTCCTTAATCCGTCACGTCTCCTTTTTCTGTTACTTTAATTCAAATTGAAACATTCTAATACACATGTTTCTCTCTTTCTCTTCCGCCGACATCTTCCTTCTCTTTCTCTTCCGCCTATGTCTTCCTCTGCTTCTTTCTTTTCCTCTTCCACTTATTTCCTCTTCCTCTGCTTCTTCCTTCTCCATTTTCTTATTCGATTCCTCAAAGTTGTTTTAGGGTATCATCGAAGGAATACCGTCGTCACGATTTCCTGTATGGGGTTTCTCGTCTATGGTAAGCCTTCTATATTTATGTAGCTTTACATCTTTACCTCTCTTTTGTTTTTGTTTGATTTTCTTATAAACTTAGGTTTTTGATGTTGTGGTTAGGTTTTTTTTGATTGATTTGATGATTTTGATTTTGATTTTGATTTTGTTGTTTCAAGTTTAGTGGTGTTGGCTCAAGTGAAACAGGGAAGATTCGCGGCGGTTTGATAAAAAACTTCACTTTTTATATTTTTGATTTGGGTCTGATTGTTTTAAATTCTTTGGATAAATTATCTCAAAGATTTGATGATTTTAGGTGTGTTTTATTCGGAGCATGTTTCTGCCTTGATCTCCCTCTCTTTTGGTAGTATCAATTAGCATTTCAAATGTCTATAGCTCTTTTAATATACATAATTGAAATTCTTTATTGTTCTTTTTAAAGCTTTTTAGAGTTATTGTTGAATTTGTTTCCTTCCTGAATAATGTGTTGCAGAGCATTACATGTTATGAAACCATTAAAAAAATATGTAATGAAGTAATATATAATAACTTCCAATATCAATGTATCAAGTGGAACACTATTTTCTTTGAAAAGAATTGGTAGAGTGATGTTGATAAACTTTCAATATCAAATGTTCCACCCGAGTCTTTAAGGTATGAATTCACAATATTCCAAGTTTGTTCTTTCTATAACTCTTCCTTTCATGTTTATGTCTAACCAATGCAATTGTTTATTTCAGTTTTTTGTTCATAATATGGATTTGTTTTTTGCTCTACAAGGAGATATACTTTAAAATTATCACCACTATTACCACCTGAAGTTTCAAAAGCATCCTCAAATGAGGCCAACGATCAAGGTACGTAATCAATATTGAATACAAGAAGTTAATTATGTGACTTAACAAGAATCTATTCGGGCACACAATCTTATCGTGTTATCTCTTTTTTTTTTAGACCGGATGTTTAGGACTTTGGGGCAGGGAAGTCGATACTATTGAGTACTATGAACAACATATTAAACATGAGATGAGGTAACACTTTGGTTTATTCTTCTGATATTTTATGCTTTTGTTTCTTTACCTACAATTTTGTTCTATAGTTTTGAAATGTTTTTCTGTTGAATTTGTAACTGGAATAAGGTTTTTAGACTAATATAACTATTAACTTTTGACAGTTGCTGGTGCTCCTTATGACACTTTCGACGGAGTAATTGAGAAATGGGGCTCTGGTGGTTTGGATTCCCTCCACGATTTTGGGGTGAAATACAAAAAAGTTCTGGTATGCAGCATTTAGAATTATTATTTTCTATATCTAACTCATTAGTCTTCTTTATAACACTTAACATTTTTCCATCAGCTTGTCAAGGATAGTGGACTTGACTGGAATGCACTAATGAATGTTGTTAAACCCGAAACAAAATGTGCACTCATACTGAGGTCGTGTAGTTAATCTTGGCATCATGAAATGTGTATTATTTCAGCGGAGGTTGTTTCAATTTTCAGCTAGACTATTAGCTTGTATTGTGTCATGTCATGTGTTGGAAATTGGATTCTTCTACATTCAATCTTTTGTCAATAAAGATGACTACAGACATGTTACATCATATGATGGAACTGGTAAGACCAGTGTTTATTTACTTCGTCTTCAATGTAAGTCTTGGATGGTAATCCTTGATTTGTTTTTTCTTTTAGCAGAACAATAATAAGAAAGTGTTTGCAATGTGATAACTTGCATGGTGTTGTACAACTTCATTGTTTATATATGATTATGTTTATTTAAACTATGATTATGTATGCTCGCAGTAAATTCATTTTTGAAGATGAAAGCTTAAATACACATTAAATCGCATAATAGAAATTCTGTTAAAGTTCCTCTATGGTATAGTGCCGTTGTTGTAGCCACTATCTGACTATACTTTTTAATAAGGCTGATTTGTTTGATGTAAATTAAGATAATTACGAGTTACTTTAACTTTTGCAGGTTGAAATAGGTGCTACACTAGCATTTGTTTGTAATGTTCCTTTGACTATTCTTAACATGGTAATCCAATAAAATTCTCTCAAAAATTTGCGTTGTTTGGAGTGTGTTTTAGAAATTAAAATATATTTATCTATGGAAGAAAATATTGAAACCAATTTATTATTTTTTTTTAAATTTTTTTTATTTAATTTTTCTTATTATTTTATTACATGTTGAAAACAAAAATATGTGTACCACATCAGTATCTGTGCGACGTACGAGTAACATACTAATACTATGAACGCACGGGTAATAAATGGGCGTGCGTAACACACCATGCGAACGTACGAGTAACACACCAGTATTCGTACGAACGCACGGATAACACATGAGTATCGTGTAAACACTCGACTAAGTATTTTAATATATTTTTCTTTTAAAAATAATAATATATTTTGGTAAAATGATTTTGTTTTTCTTATTAACATTTTAATTATATTTTAAAAATAAAAGCGTTTGTATTATATACCAGTACTCGAATTAGTAACACCATAATATCGTATAAATGCACAAAATTCGTGCAAACGCATGAATTTAATATATAAAAAGTTAAAATATATATTATTGATGTAAAACAATTTTGATACTGATTTCCATTTTATTACATTTTAAATTAATTATACCGTTGATTAAAATATATTTATATTTGAAAGAAAATATTGAAATCAAATTAATATTTCTTTTTAAAATAATAAATTATTTTAATTAAATAATTTTTTTTAAGATTTAACTTTTTTAAAAATTAATATATAAAAAATTATAATATATATTATTCATGTAAAACCATTTTAATAAAATAATTACATATTTTTTTAAATGTTTTTCTTTTAAAAGCAAAAATCTATTTTGATAAAATAATTTTGTTTTTCTTATTAACATTTAAATTATATTTTAAAAATAAAACTGTGTGTATCACATTAATACCTGTGCGGACGCACGAGTATCCCACTAGTTAGATTTAGACATAGAAAAAAAATCGAAATTTTTTTCTCTAATTTTTTTATTTAGCCTCTAATAAATTTTTGTTTATAGCTCTAATCATCTTTTTAATTATTTTTTAGTGAAATAGATCCCAACAATAATTCTTTTGACACTTAAAATTCTATTAAAATAAAAAATAAAAAAAATAAAATTTAAATAAGTTATTAAATTAAAAAAATTAAAATAAATTATGACACTCAAAATTCTATTAAAATATAAAATAAAAAAAATAAAATTTAAATAAGTTATTAAATTAAAAAATTAAAAAAAAAATTTAATTCTTAATTAATATTAATTTAATTTCGATCGAAAGTCGTTATTTATATGTAATCACAAAAACAAAAACATAAAAAAAGAATATGAAATAAAAATAGTGAAGTATTGTTGAATTTTATTAAACAAAATTATTGTAGTGAGTAAAAATTAAGTAAACATTGAATTATTAGGTGGAAAAGAGAAAAGATGATATGAAATAAAAAAATGAAATAAAATGAATCCATAAACCATTGTATATAGTCTTAGGTGAAAGTAGTTTGGGTGGAATCCCACGTGATTTTCTGTTAGTGGAGAGGAATTCATCAGACAGTCCTTGTTGAATTTGTTTGTTCATTTATTTTTCATCAAATTGTCATATTTTGCTCCATTGGTCATGAATTGAAAAGAAATCCTCAGCACATTAGAGAGAGAGAACACATGAGAAAGAGAGTGTTGGTTGAGAATAAACATGTTTTTTTAACATAGTTCTCTCCCTTTCTTTTTTTTCAATTTTATGGTTTATCAATTTCTCTTGATCTCCCCATTCTCACACTCAGTTGTCTCTCTTATTTCTTTTATAGAAGAGATGGCCTGAGCTCAAAAGGAACAACTAAAAAGCAATTACTCTAGAAGAAGCTCTTCTAAAGTCATCCTCAAAATTACTCAACAGAAAGGAAGAAATTCAGTCAAAAATCTTGATGCTTCCTTGTAAATCTTTCCCAACTCTAGCTAACAAGTTTGCAACCATTAGCTTCTCTAAAAGTATGAGATAACTCAAAATTAGCATACTTAACTGAATGATTTCCACCGCTTGTTTCAATTCTGCTTTTAGTGTGATGTGGGTCTAATTCATTATTATATTTTGTTAACATATTGGGGTTTCATTTTGTCATTTTTTTCTTATACAAGCAATATAATCCGAATTTAATAGAAGATTTGCTTCTGATTTTTGTGGTGATGTTGGATCTAATTTATCTTACATGTTTTTGGATGAAGAGAGTAGAAAATTAGTTTTAAATAGGGAAGGTTTGAATTTGAATTTAGATTTCTTCCTCTTTGCCTCATAAATCGTGAAGTGGTGACAATTGATGAACTTCTTACATTGGCATTTATATGTTAATTGCGAAGTAATGAAGGATATTTTAGGCAGAAAACTGGTATGTTATAATCTTAAATAATAATAATAATAAGTTGATTATAGTCTTGAATAATAATAATTAGTTGATTACATATTCTTATTGAGTCATAAGACCTATCTAGCAATTGTTATTGTTAGATGTCTAAAGAGAGTTAGACTTATCTAGCAAGTTAGACAATTAAATTTTTATGTATCATGTTCTTATTGAGTCCATAAAAGTGTAAGTGGTTCATTTTTAACCAATTTTCCTTATAAAAAAATGATGTGACCATTATATAAAAATGTGACCATCATATCATGTTATATTTGGCCTAAAATATATAAAAGCAATGTAGCTCTACACCAAAAACTCAATGAAATATTATTTGCCAATGCCTACTCATGTAGAACCATGAGCACTGCCACACAGAAACTAAACATCTAAACATGCCTCAAGTATGAGCAAACCTACAAAAGAAACATTCCTTCAATTCTAAGCTTTAACAATTTTTAAAATCGAAATGGCATTAATTGGTGTTAACTTAGAGAAGCAAAAGCTCTGCCACGCTTCCATCTTCTCTTCCACCTCCACATCCTTAATGATTGCCTCATACACTGAAGTTGCTATAGCTCTTGCTGCATCTCTTGCCTCTGGAAGCCTATCATTCACTAAATCAGCTGCCACTTCAATCAACTTTTCCATCCCAAACTCCTCCATTTCATCACTTCCCTGTAACCATAATAATACCCTTTAGAAACATTATGTAAAGAGTAAATAACACTACATCATATCACAAATTCAATGGCAGTGGCAAACTTTACCATCTTGGAGACACATTTGGATAGAGAAACAGCAGCTTTAGCTCTGATCCTAAGGTTCTTATGACTCACAGAAACCCTTAGTTTCTGAAGCAATGAAAGAGGTGTCATGGAACCCACCATTGATCCAAGTGCTCTCTCAGCTTCTTCACATACAAACCTTTTATCTTGAGAAGCTTTCAGCAGCAGCTGCAACAGCTGTTGAAATTCAACCAAAACAACACAATTCATTCAAACCTCTTAAATCATTACACCAAAACAAACACCTATAGAACAACACACAAGAGAAAATTGAATGCACATACCAAATCCTCAAACGCATCAGAAGTAGATGGATCAAACAATTTGTCACCAAAAGCATTGAAAATATCAGAAGCAGCCATAATAGAGGTTTTGCATAAAGCACTACGAGGGTTCTTCATTGACTTCACCACCACCAACAAAATTTTATCCCTAATAATCACAAACTTCAACTCAGAAACAAAATTCCTCGAAACCCGATTCAACAAATGACATAAATTTCAAGACTTTTTAACAAAATATATACAAAAAAATTAACCCTTACAAAATGGGTAATAGAAGAGAAGAGTGGTACAATGCAAATCGCCTAACATCATTCAACGATTCACAAACTTCGACCCAATTTTTCGAATCCAAATCTTCAATCAAACTCTACAATTATGAAGATTTCCATAAATCAAAATCAGAATCAAAGTAAAAAAATTCCAAGGGAAATATAAAAAGAGTGAATTTTTATGCTTACTTGAATCTGAGCTTCCGGATCCGACATGGGTTTAAGGTTGTCGGATGAAATATAATCAACGGTGGGTTCCGACGGGACTTGATTTTCGTCATTAGCAGTAGGAGGTTGTTGTTTGTGAGTTGCGACAGCGATTCTAGGTTGTTTTTTGGGTCTTTCTTGGGTTATTGTTGGAAGAGCGTTATCAATGGGTCTAAGTGCCATGGTTGTTGAAGAATGAATGAAGGGATGGAGAATTGAGAATCTTTATCGATGAATCAATGTTTGTTGAGAATGTTATTGTTTTCTGTTGAAGTTTTGAAATTCAAAATTGAAAGAGATGTTATAGAAATGGAAAGAGACGTTAGAGGTGTGGTGGTGTAACGGTAACATTCCTGTTGGATGAAAAATACAACATACGGTATATATAATATAATTATTTATTTCCCATAAAAAAAATATAATTATTATTTATGTCACAGATTAAAAAAAAAACTTTTACATATACAATATTTAAGTAAAGTTTGAAGTAAAAAAAATATATTATTAAAAAAAATAAAAAATAAAAAATGAACTTGAAGATAAATGTATAAGTTTTTAAAAACAACAAATGTTAAGAAAAAATATTTAATCTTATAGGTTGATCAGAATTTGTGAAGTGGCCGGAAGATGATCTGTAGTCAGGCTGTGATGTCGAGGAGAAAAAAATGGATTGTACCTGCAAGACACTCCGACGATCAAGTAAGAGTGGTGTTGTACTCCAATTTTTGCCCCTAAGATTCCTATATCATCTCATATCAACTCAATCACAACAAGATCACACTAGAGTTTGGTTCTTCTTCCTATCTATAGGTTTGCTCATGAGGAATCACCAAACACCTTGATTTGTATATTGTGATTATCTATGTTTTGTATTGATTAATTTTTAACTAATAAATACAATGAATGTTTGCTCTAATTGATGATATTATAGGTGAAGGCACAACACATTTCATCAAGTTGATTCACATATGTTCATACGTTTATTTCCATGTCTTCTCCAATAAAGCTTCATTGAGATTCAAGCTTCATCATTGAAGATGATTTAAAATAATATCATGACAAGGTCTACTATGATTCATCATCCCCCAATTTATCAAAGAAAGTCAAAAGATGCAAGGATTGGTTGAAGAAGTTTGACCTAATTTGATAAATTCTTGATTCTTTGATCACAAGTGCATAACTCTATCAATGTTTAATATTTGGAGGTGGTTATTATTGATATGAGTTCTTATTATCATCCACAACAACCTCTATTCACACGGCAAAAGTTATTGTGCAAGAAAGTTTGTCAAAATTGAAAAGGATTTCCAAGTCATTTTGGTGCTTGAAGAGTTAGGGTTTTGAACTTCTAAGGGCTATATTTTGCTCATCTTTTGAGATTTTTGAGTAATTCTAAAGACACGCTTCTCTTTAAAGGGTTATCAACTAATCACTTCAAGAGTTTCAAGAAAATTTGGTGTTGAAGATGCCTAAGGATGAAGAAAGATTACAAGTCTTCTAGATAGGCCATTAAATTTTCTTATGTAATTTCAAAAGATCATAACTTGGTCAATTTTTATCTCCTTGAGCCCATTATTTTTCCATAATGATCTTAAGGATGTTAACTTTAACTCTTCTTTTATGTGCAAAGCTTGAAAATGAGTGAAAGATACCCTAAGAACCCAAAAGATTATGGGTCACTTCATGAATATTGACCAATTTTACAAGGTCATAACTTTTTCAATACTTGGTGTTTTTGAGTGATTCAAGTTTCACAATGCTCTTTGGGAAGTCTACTTCAAGCTAGCATCATTGATCAAAGATCAATTTTGGAAGAAGACCTTGTTTGGAATCAAAACATTATAGGTCACTTTTGAAGAAAAAACTTAGAATTTTTCTAAGTACAAAAGTCAACATCTTTTTCTCAACTTTGACTCATCACAACTTCCGGATCAAACATCCATTTGATCTCATTCTTGGTACATTGTAAATATTTTGACCTTATCTTTCAAAAGCTTCAAGAATCATATTCTAAGACCCATTGAGCTATGAACACCATGGGTTCAAATATGATACCTTGAAACTGAAATTTTCTCCAAAGTCAGAATTTGAAATTCATAATGTGGCTTCTAAACACCAAATTATCACGCGTTTTATTTAAACATGCTTAACCAAGTTCCCAAAGTTGAATTAAGGATCAAAACACAAGAATTAACCGAGTTTTAAACAAAATCAAGTCACACTTTTCTCATTTTCGACCTTCCTTTGCTTTCCCTTCAAACTTCACTTTTGCTTCTAATTCTTTTCACCATTCACTCTCCTATAAATAGAGGAACATATTGCATTCATTTTCTCAAGCTTGAACATCCAGAATCATCATGTCAAACTCTCTCCTTAACCCACTTTTCTACAACGTCGAATTTGGTTTTACAACCTTTCTCAATCCATTTTCTTTGTCAATTCTCCATCCTTGAACTTCACTGAAGTTAACAGAAGAAGAACCAAGCCCAAAAGAATCCTAAGTCGTGCTAGCCAAGTCAAGTTTTAGAGCTTTGAATTTGAACTTCAATAGGTAGATTCCTTCATCAATTCTCTCAAAATTTATTACTACAATGAAGCTCTCATCATTCTGGTACTAGTCGCAACATTTTTTTCAATTGGAAATGAGTTTTGGCCATGAATTTTCAAATCCCTATTCAAATTTTTCCTCCTGGTTTTTTGCAAATCGACTGAGCTACACCTTGAATAAATTTTTCGCGAGGGTACGATTGTTTTCGTCTTGATGAGACGAAGCGAATGTCATAAATCTAAGCTCCTGATTTTACAGTATGAAAGACCTGCAATTTGCGTGGCTGGAGGTTGAAGATGACCAACGTGTCATCTCTCAATCAATGATAACGCGCCACTTGTTTTTTTTTCAAAAAAATGATTTAATAATTGATCCAATGTTTTATTCACTAAGGACCATGATATGCACATCGCGCCAGGTCCCTTGGATCTGATTACTAACGCGTTTTGACATTCATCCAATGGTCTATATCTTTTTTTGTTTTATTTTTATTTTCTGATTTTTATATTTTAATTGATTTAAACTTTAAAAAATCATAGAAAATTTATTTTTAACTCAAAAATTATGAAAAAATTCACAAAAATATCTTCAAATATTCTCTTTATGATTTTTATTTTTTCATGATTTTATTTTCAGACTTGATATTTTTTTTTATAATTTCTCCTTTATTTTAACTTGTTTTTAATTATTTAAAATTACTTTTTGATATTTTTAAATTCTAAAATTTTCTATAAAAATCATTTTCTTTATTTCTCATCTTCTGAAATTTTTCTAGAATTTTATTTTGACTTCTACTATTTTTGATCCTTTTTTCATTTATTTAAGTGATTTTAATTAGTTTAAAAATACTTTTATGTTTTAAAAAATTACCAAAAAAATTATAAAAATATTTGAGATCATTTCTGATTTTATATGGTGTCTTTAAATTTTTATTTAATACTTTAAATATAGTTTACTATTTTACCTTTTATTTTCATTTTAAAAACAATTTAAAAGTCATTTTTATTTTATTTTATTCATTAAATGCAATTTATTTTTTAATATATTTTGGTTATGTGATTGTTGATCATAAACTTCATTAACATCACTGGATCTTGAGTGTTGAGTTTAACTCCACTAAAATGGATGGATGATTTTAATGATAGTTTGATTAAATTTTTGATTCAAATATATCCCCTCTCTCTTCATCTTAGCCCTCTCTATTTTGTACTATATGTTATTAGAGGATGATCTACATATCATCACTTCAAACATATGGCACATAGATTGCTATTGACCGGCCTTAAAATAGGTGTGACTTCTACATAAGTTCACTTATGATTGCTTAACATAGCGCTAAATTAGGTCCCGGTTCGAGAAATGATCATTCGTGGCTCAAATCTATGTTTGCAAGCTCAAGTATGTTTAATTTTAAACCTTTGATCCAATAACTTTGAGGTTCATTGTTAGGAGGCTTTGGTCTTATCAATCCTCTAATGAACTTTCACAAAATTTGGTCTAAGTGAAACATTTAAACATCGTTGATCATGTAATTGTTGTCTCGAGAATTTAAAATGAATGATATACTTGACAAAAAGAAAATGAAACTTGTTGTTGAGAGGCTTTGATTTTATCAATCTTATAATGAGTTTTCAAATGAAAGATTCAAGACGGTCATTCAACTCTAACCTCTAATTTCTAACCCATTAACCATTGACTTTTATTTTCATGCTTTTACTTTATGTCTTTACTTTTACGCGCCGTTTATTTTAGCATTTACATTTCATATTATTTTCATCTTTGCTCATTTGAGCTTTTTCATTTTCTTTTTGAAGATACTTAATAACCAACTTGAACAATAAAAAACTTTAAGGTTACGTGGACTATTTGGTTACTATCCTTGGCATTTTGGAGTTATGGACTTCTTGGACTTAGGATTAGAGACCTTGACATACCTTGGGACCTTGTGACTTCTACTATTATTTTGTCTAGAGTTCTTCGGGTTTACCCCGAGACATTGGGTTGTTTGTTTTCTTTGTGTGCAAATTATTCTGATTATATGCTTTGTCTGCAATTAGGAATTCACCTGTATACAACCGTTACTCTGCCCAATTTTTGTGAAGACTTAACGCATTTGAAGCTTGTTTTTCTTAAGAGGTTTAGTATCTTTGCTTGCTTGGTTTCAATCCAAAGGATGAGAATTCTACATTGACTCATTATGTCAAATGTTGGCTTCTTATTGGTTAGACAGTTCTTTTCCCTAGCTTTTACCGTATGCCTTAAGAAAGTCCCTTCATCTCTTCCCATCTTCTTTAATTTCAAAAATCTTCTCCCTCCTTTCAAAACTATTCCTGTTTTTAAACTTGAATCGCTTTCGCAATAAACTTGGACTTAGGTCCATGCATTTTCAAAAATATTTTCTTAATTAAATTTTAAACAACTTAATATTTTTCCACTTCGGCTTTTTACCTTAAAAACTTTTTCTCAAAAGATTAAACTCTTGTCAATCCTTGTAGTGATGCAAGATACTATACTTCTACGATATATGGTGAAGTGGGATATTTTCCACTTGTGTGTTGAGTGTAACACCCCAATTCTACCCGACAATTATATATGCAAATCAGAGTTATACAATTCATGCAACTGAATCAGGATG